ATTCTTTAAGAATAGAACAATCGTGCTGATAACGTATTATGAAACTATATAAAATTAGAAGAAGAAAATAGAGAGAAGAGAAAAGATTTCTTATTCATCTTGAAGTATATTCAGGATTCATCGATCTTTCATAAATGTTATTTACAATGAAGAAAAACTCTTTATTTACAGGGAAAACCTTACTTGGTCCCCAAGTAGGATTTCTATCCATATCCTACAAACACTCTACATAATTATGCATTCACTATAAAATTAGATTAAATTAATAGGAATTATATTATTATTATTATTATTAAAAATTAATAATATAATGTTTTACAAAAAATGAAAAACAAATTATTTTTATATCAACTATTACATCTTGCTCAAGAAGTTTTAAAAACTAAACCAAATAATTTTGAAACCGTTCTAAAAAATAGGGAGTGTAAGTGTAATTTTTTAATTATCTTATCCTTCTTCAAACTAACCATATATTTAATTATTCATTTCAAATTCGTTGTCATCCAAAAATAGCTAACGTGAATTTGAATGGCATATTAGTTACTCTCCACGATTATTTTTTAATTTTGAATTTTAAAATTTCCTATTTTTAAATACAATTTAAAAGTATAAGTGCAAATTGTTAAATAATAATAATAATAACAAATATTTATATCTCAAAGTGTTATGAAACTATATCAATTTAGAAAAGGAATAAAGTAGGGAGAAGAGAAAAGACTTTTTATTAATCTTGAATTATATTCAGGATTTATAGATCTTTATCAAATCTTATTTACAATGAAAGAAAATTCTTTATTTATAGCGGAAACCTAACTTTGTCTCCAAGTAGGATTCCTAATCATATCCTAAAAGGACTCCACATAATTAGACATTCACTATAATACAAATATGTTTATAATATTCTCCGCTGAATGTCGGTAGATTATGTGTCTCGTTAAAACCTTACTAGATAAAACCCAATGGGAAAAAAATCTAGTGAAGAAAAAAGAGTACACATAAATAATAAGTACGCATTATAGATGCCTCATTAAAAACCTTACAAGAAAAAACCAATGGGACAAAACCTTGTGAGGGAAAAAGAGTATCTCGCGTATTAACTCCCCCTAATGACAACATCAATTCAGAGACTAAAATCTTCATTTTCCAAACTTGTGCGTCATCTTCTTGAAAGTTCTAGTTAGTAAGGACATGGTGAATAAATTAACTATAGTATACTTGAACAGACCTCTTACATGTTGATATCACCATTCTTGGAAGCTCATGAGTGTTGAAAAACTTTGACGAAATATGCTTCCTTCTATTTCTTTTTATAAATTTTTCCTTCAGGGTCAAAAATTTCTGCAATTTCCTTACTTAAACTTCTTTAAGCAAATAATCTATTGCCTTTTGAAAACTCTTCAAAGAGTTTCAATCATGGTTATCAACTTGCATACCAATACTTGCATATACTCTATACATTTTGAATCAATTTAATACTTATGAGGATGATAAATAAGTTTTCCAAAAACTTGTATATGCTTTATATTTTGAACCCATTGGATATTTTTATATCAATTTTGTCAAGTGACAACATTCAATATTAGATGTATGACATCTTCTAGTGCCTAAATTGCAAGTCAACTTTATGCTTACCAAGATGCACCATTCCACTTTTCACTTGATAACTATTTCCACACAAACATGTTTTAATAAATGTAGAATTCATATCTTAATAATCTTTTACAATATTGCGTGCTATTGTATCAAAGATATTGTCAACGATATATCATTTTGCATTGATTAACAATACGACACAACTTATTGAGATCTCATCACTTTATTATTTTTAGGTATCTACCCCTCTCATGAGGTTTCATAAAGTGTTATGCCGTAGGCTTTCCAAGAGCAAATTGTCTCCTTATTATGATAATTTTGATTCTTTGGTCCTCCTCCCCTTTCAAGAATTATTTAATTTAGAATTGATTAGTCTATCATACTTCATGCATGTTATAGATTCTATACTTTAGGTACATTCAATAGGAGTATTTTACAACTTTTGTAATACTTTTGCAAACATCAAGTTGCGAGATAACAATATCCACACATGAGACCATCTAGAAAAAACATCTATTAGGACCATTAAGTATCTAAACAATCCACTAGGTGGATGAATAGGTCCACAAATATCTGTATACGTTACTCGAACGCAGGGGATTCAATCTCAACCTTCATTAATGATGGTTTCATAATTAACTTGTCATGATAACAAGACCTACAAGAAAATCGCCATTTGAAAGAACTTTTTAGGTTCTTCCATGGATGTCCATTTTAATTTTTCATAATTCGTCTAAACATTATACCCTAATGATGTCCCAGAAAATCATGCCAAATTAAGAAAGTATTGGAATTATTAAACTTTTTATTTACCATAGAATGTGTCTCAATTGCACTAATTTTTGTCCAATACAAGCCTGAAGATAAAACATGAAACTTTTCTATAATAAATATCTTCTTAGAGACATTGTTGGTGATACCACATCATTGACCAAATGTCACAATCTTTCTCATGTCCAAGCATGGTAGCTTACACCTCCTTCGCTTTAGAGAATTGTTTTATATTTCTAGCATTTATCAAATTCTTGATGAATGAAATACAAACATGTGAGCATAACAAAGTATGATAGCTTTAATACCTCATTCCATATTAATATGCATTATTAAATCAATTGTCTTCTTTCAGAAATATTATGCACTATTACCAAATTCACTTTACGTAATGGAGTAAAGTCAGTAAATTTCATGACTTTTCATCAAAAACGCAGTTTTTCTTTAGTTATTATAATATCATCAATATAATGCATTAAAACTTAAATTCAATGTCTTCTCCATATAAGAGTGTCTTAGACCATAAATTGATGAAACTTGAACCTTATATCTTCTTATCGTGGTGCACCAGGACTTTAACCCAATGTCTTACCCTCTTGGTGCGACTGAACGTAAATTCACCATCTTATTTTTTTTGTGCGATAAAACTTAAATCTATCGTCTCACCCACAATGAACCTCAACCTCAAGACTTCACATAATTGTAATTTTATCACTTTTAATGATCATTTTTTGATCGTATATTATAATAACACACAAAATTGAGATTATTGATTTATTTTAATCAACATAGTAATTAATAGATACAACTTAATAGAACACATGCCTCATATAAAGATTGAAAACATACCTTTCACTATATTATACTTATTTAATTATTAAAATAAATTAAGGAATTCTCTTCCCAATCGGTTAAAATAAAACGTATAAAAAGTTGATATATCTCTTTAAATACTTACTCCAGATGGTAACTCCAGATCTGTCACATAAATAATTATAAATAACAAAGTAAAGACAAATAGTATGTCACAAATACGAGAACCTTATTGTATAACTTATGCAAGATCTCTTTTGCATTTTTTCCGTCTTCTACCATAATTTTTTAGGAATAGAACAATTGTACTAATAACGTGTTATGAAACTATATCAATTTAGAAGACGAATAAAATAGGTAGAAGAGAAAAAAACTTTTTATTCTTCTTGAAGTATATTTAGAATTCATAAATCTTTCTCAAATCTTATTTACCCCTTTATTTATAGGGGAAGCCTAACTTGGTCTCCAAGTAAGTTTCTTAACTATATCCTAAAAGAACCCCACATAATTAGCCATTAACTATAATACAATATGTTTATAACACAAAGTGTATGATTAGATTTTTTCTAAAACTTCACAGTTATTTTTTTTTTTGGCAATCAGTTTTGAAATTTCAGTAATTTCTATATTATAAATGCTTTTGAAGATGTTCACGCTTCAAGAGGTTATTTATCGAATTAAATTTCAGTTTGTTTATGTGTTCTAGCATGTTTATATGATTTAGCATAAACAATATTGGTTATATATTATTCATGTAAGTAATAGAGATTCTAATATGCTTCCGTTGTGAATAGATGTTTCCTAACAATAACAACACATGAGGCACATAGATGACTAATCGTTGAACGTCTTGGTCGTCCCTTGACGTTTCATTTTAAACTCTAGCTTCACCTAAGTCATTTTTGAGGTATCACATTCTCCCCTACTTGGACAACATTCGCCCTCGAATGACACTTATTACTCTCCGAACACTTCCAAGAGTAGAGATTCAGCTAACAACTCATGACCATACCTTATAACACATTATATGATACAAAAACAAGGAAAACGTCAATTTCACATAATCAAGAGATTCACAACACAAAAAGAAACTAGAATAAATTCTACGACTCATCATGCCATAAAACTCACATCATTCATTCCAAATAGAAAAAACTCATTTTATATTCATTATGATGCTCATGTACATCAGTTCTAACCATATTACAACAATTTTCAACCAAAGAATAAATTAGCCAATTCTTCAAAAATTTTACAGTGAGGAGGCAGCCTTACAGTGATTTATTCTACATTTTTCAAAAATACAACTTTTAAGTAATTCATGATCGAAACATGATAATATGCAAGATAAAATCATATAAACACATCTTACAATATAATCATTGTTTTATCGAAATTGGAATTTTTTTTTGTCTTTTTTGGTGGAGATTTTCGACTTTTCTAGAGTTGCCACTTAATTTTTGAGAAAAATTGAGATAAACATTGTTTTAAAAAAGACTTAACAGAAAAATCATTTGAAAATAATCAAAGGGGTTCGGAAATTCCTATTAATGTCTTAGGAAGGTTTTGAAAACACCTAAGACGTTCAGCTTAATTTAGCTTCCGGCAACTAACTAAATTTGGCTTAAATTGATTGGTGTAGAAACATTTTTAAAAGTTATTTAAACATGAATGTTAAACTCATTTAAGATTGTTACGAAAGTGAAAACTATTTATCTAAGTAAATTTTAATTTTTGTAAAATCCTTTAAAGATATTTTCCTTGATTTGATCTAGTCGTTAAAACCAAAGTGGCGTATTGTGGGAAATTGGATTTTCTCAACCTTTAGAACTAACGACAAGTAAAACAGATAAGTAATAAAAAGCAAGTAAAGAGAGAGAGGGAGAAAGATATTTTGGTCCAAATCCGGATCATCTGTTCACCTGGACCTATTTTGGGTTTTCTGACCCATTTTCATTTTAGGCCTTTGACCCCTATTTTCCTTACCTGTCATAGACTAAACAATAATAAAAATAAGTAAAATTTACAAGGCTTAAACCCGAAAATAACAAAATATATTTGTTCGAGAATTGGCACTTTTTGACTCATTTTCAGCTTTTTGAGGTCATTGCTGATCGTTTACTTGGGTTTTAACCCAAATAATAACATCTTTCTTCTCTTTCGCAGCATGAAGGTTGACACAAGGAGAATTGAATGCAAGGGGGTAGGGAGTCCGAGTGGACTCAACATGGGATAGTGTTCATGCAAAGAAGATAAAGGTAATGATTTAGCACAAGTGAATTAAACAAGTAGGAGCTGATATTTATAAAATAAAGCAACTCATATAGCATGTCAGATATTTGATATTCTAATAATAACCTATCGTTGTTGACTAACTTAACACCAATTTGTCTATGAATAAATAAAACACCAAACTTCATATAACGTAGAATAATTAAAACGGCAAAGAAAATAATTAGACCGTACAGACAACATAATCAATATCTCATTGAGCCAGAATGTTCAAAAAAAAAAAAAATTCTTAAGAAATCACAACTAACTTTTCATAACATGTATGGGCTATGAAAAGTTACTCGATCAGGAGATAGCTCGAATTCATAAATTATAGAATAGCAGATGCATAGTTAAGAAAAATACACTGGGATTTTAATATAAATAAAGGGATAAGCATGAATATAAAGTTTCCGCCACATAAATCTCAAACAAATATTCAACCAACGAAACAACCTTATATAGATTTGCATTCACAAATGATCAAGTGTGTAGGTGTCCACCAAATTTAATTCCCAGGGATGGAAGACAACAAACGAACATATTGATGTCTAGATTATAAAGTTGACAACAATTCCAACTATACTGAGAAGACATACTTAAAGAAAACAAGAAGAGAAAGATAAATAAATAAATAAATAAATTAGCCAACCAAACCTAAAACAATATTAAAGCTCCAGCTGAAACTCAAAAAATTAGAACAAATGTGCTTATAACTACTGTAGCTTTCAAGATGAATTATTTCCAAATTTTTATATAAGCATATGATTTTATTGTGGCAGGTTTATCAGTGAGTAATCAAAAAAGCAAAATAATCACATCCTCAATTCCTACAACTTAATTCATATCAGTGTATTCAACTAGTCATCTAATTCGAGGGAGAATAATTTTATCCTCTTCATTTTCAAATCTAACCAGATATATTTCTAAGTGTAAACAAATATCAACAACCTTTCAAAAGGATATGCTGAGAATTACAACCTATATAAAATAATCCGGTGCAGTAAACTCGGCCAAATGCAACATTTAATCCGCTTAAATATAACAAATACTCAGCCTCAAAACCAAACTAAAAGACACAACTATAAACAACGACAAATAAAAACATGTAGGAGAAGGTCTAAAAGGGTGTCGAGGAAGGTCATAAGTGATAAATAAAACAAAGATCTATATACGATATCATGCTCTCGATACTCCCTAGGTGGAGATTAACTACAATCAAGCTTAGATAAAAGAAACATAACAAAATAAATTAATAACAGGAAGGGGCAGAAAGCTACTACAATTTGGCATATAAACCTAACAGCCACACCTAACACCAGAAAGTGTTCAAAGCTAATGTACAGGGAATCAATGATTCATAAAAAAAAAAAAGCAAAATCGGAAGCAAATGTCATCGCCTAAAAAAACTCATGATATTCACGTCCATGCTTATGAAGACAACATAATTTGGTCCCATCTCATATACCCGAAACCGAATACGGAGTGAGCGGAAGATGAAACACACAACAATTTTTCAAAGTATAATGAACCACGATGAACAGTTCCGGGCAGCCACAAAAGGAAAACACATATATCATACATTAGCTCACCAATAACATATAACCATCAATCGATTAGGACGACTTTGCTCTCATAATGCGACTCTACCACAGAAAAGAAAATGAAGGAATATAGGGAAGAAATGTTACCTTTCAAAATGCAGCGAACTAAGGAGAACGACGAGCAGGGGTAATGTCTAGCTGTCAACACTAAAATGCGCACACTAACCTGCAAATAAGCGAGTCTGAGGGCGGAATTTTGAACTCTAAGGAACCTTAGAAAGGTGAGGACGAACTATGGGAGAAGAGAGAAACTTGGACAGTAACTAGTTCCCTTCCCTTTCCTTTCCTTGAATGTGTGTTCTATGTCTTGTGGCTACTTTGCCTTATATGTTTTCTCAATGTCTTTGCTCTTAAGAAACTTCCAAGATGAAGAAACAAACTCTAAGACTTTTGCTCAACTTTTCTTTCAACAAGAAAAATATAACAAGCTCCTCCAAAATTCCTCTCTCTGTAACCCTTTTTTTTTTTTAAAAAAAACGAGAATCAAAATCAGAAAACATTCCAATCGTCCAACAAGATTCCCCCCCCCCCCCCCAAAAAAAAACCCGTAGTCCCTGCCTCCAAAATCCTCAAAAAAAATAATCCGTCCCAAAAAAAAATCCCTTGACTTGATGGAGAAACGAGAATATATAGAAAAAGGGTTAGGGTTTTTGGATTGGGGGGAAAGGCGAGGAAAAAATTGAACTTTCAAGCCCCCTTTTGAATTTTTTTTAATTCCCCAAACCTCGCTGTATTTGGACGAACACACCTTTTTTGAGGTTCTTGTCCCATTCCAGAAAAAGAAGGGCGGACTAACGACTACATCGGATCGATCGTCCTTGACGGAGCAACGTGGCTCCATCCTACGCTATCAAGGACGCAACAATAGCTGGAATCGTGGCCAAAGTTGCACAACCGTACGATTCGATATCAACAAGGAGAAGAAAACAAAATCAAATCGTACTCTCTCCGGCCATTCGCTGCTTTCCATGTAAATTGACGCCTTCCGTGAACTTGCCCGCGCGTGGAGAGGATTAGAGCGCGTACCGGAGTGACAGGTTTTGTTCACGCGTGCCATCGCATGCCCTCTGTCAACGTCGCCATCTATTCCGTCATCCTTTTTGACCGTTGGCCGCCACTTTCGTTAACTCGCTCTCGTGTGGGAAGGACGAGGATGGCAGGGCATTGCTGGAGACGTTCACGCGTCTTTGCGCCGTCACCGTCACTGTATCGCTATAAGAGAAAGTTGGGGAATCTGGATGGGTATTGCCTTTGTTCTGATTTTCCGTGGGGGTAAAGATTTGGGTCGGATCGAGAAACAAGGTGGGCTGGAGGACATTTTGCTCCACAAATAGTGATAAAATGACTATGTTTTTCATATATAAAACGGATAAATAGATTTGTAGGCATATGGAATTCAGAATATCTGAATTAGATCTATTTCACGAGTTCTACTAAAATTTGCATAAAGTAAATTGGCAATAATTAATGAATGAGCTTCTAGACTTTGAGAAGATGAAATAATTAACTCCACTGCAAACTTGTAACTCGAAAATATAATTACTAATCTAGACGATATTTATTTAATACAATATTAAGTAAAACTAAAATCTTTTTTAGGCGGTTTTCAAATACTTTAAACTAATTATGTAAAACATATAAAAACACATATCACTTAGAACACCATAAAATATTGACTAAAGCTACCTTAAAGGTGTAACGACCTGTTTAGTCGTTTTGAACAGCAGATTTTATTTCTAGAAAAAACAGGCTGAGGCGACGGACCCCACGACGGACCGTCATGGGCACGACGGACCGTCGCAGGGTCTCGTTTCAAAACACTTAGAAAATCTGAAATGGGGTACTGAAAATCGACTCTCTGAACTTTGTAACGGAATGGCAGGACGAACCGTCACAGGTGTGGCGGACCGTCACAGACTCTTCAGAGAAATTGAGTCTCTGAACTCTGTGACGGGGCAACAGAACGGACCGTCGCAGGCGCGACGGGCCGTCACAGGCTGCGTAAATCCCAGTCTGAGTCGGAATTCCTCAATTGTTTTAAGGGATGTTTTTGACTATTCCTGCTTTAATTATAAAGTTAGTGGGTTAATGTTAATAAGTCTAATTACTTGGGGGTTAAAAGAGGTAACCTTAAGTTAATTAGTGGGTTATTATTGCCATCTTTTATTCTTAATTATATGCTAATTAGGGTAAAAGAAAGAGGGTTTGAATAAAGAAAATAGAAAGAACAAAGAGAGAGAGAGGATTGATCAAGAGAAGAGAAACGAAGAGGAAAACACAAAGCTTTGGGAATTTGCTTGCTTGATCACTAATCTTCGGTGGAGGTAGGTTATGGTTTCTCTTACGATATTCGTAGTAAACTCTTAATAGCGAATTATATGTATTGATAATATTGTAAACCCTGCTATGTGCTTAATTGTATGCTTGCATGAATGTAATTATATAATTGTGATTATATAAGCATGATGAAGTTATTGAATCCCAAATCTTGTAAAACCCTAATCTCTTTGTTAATGATGAGGCCATGGTATAAAAGAAGGCGTGATGAACTAAATAATGAGATTGATGATGCCTTGGTAAGAAAGAAGGCTTGATGAATTGATAGAAGGAGGTTAGGGGATCGGGTGTCATGAACCGACACGTAGATTTAGGGGATCGGGTGTCACGAACCGACACGTAGATTTAGGGGATCGGGTGTCACGAACCGACACGTAGATTTAGGGGATCGAGTGTCACGAACCGACACGTAGATTTAGGGGATTGGGTGTCACAAACCGACATGTAGATTTAGGGGATCGGGTGTCACGAACCGACACGTAGATTTAGGGGATCGGGTGTCACGAACCGACAAGTAGATTTAGGGGATCGGAGTGTCACGTACCGACACAAGAGGATTAATGAATATGAGGGAGCGGAGTGTCACGTACCGACACAAGAGAAATAAAGATAATGAATCTTGAAAGATGTTAATATACTCAATCGAATGAACATAATTTCCAAATGAGTATGGTATTGAGGCTTGAGTCCTCATGTGTGAACTTGACGGTAATTGTTAATGATATAGTACTTGCTGTTGCTACATGTTGAGTATCATAGTTGATTTTATGATATTACTTGGTATATATTGATTTCTATTTTGAGTTGGCCGATGATATCTACTCAGTACCCGTGTTTTGTACTGACCCCTACTTTTATGTTTTATTCTTGTTTATTTGTGGAGTGCAGCAAACATGCCGTCATCTTCGACTCAACAGTAACTCTAGCCAGTCTTCATTACTCTGGATATCAGGGTGAGCTAATGCATCTAGCTTGGACTGGATCTTCCTCTTCATGTCTTGATGCCTTGAAGTTCCGGCATGGACTAGCTTTTTATGTATTTTAGCTTCTTAGATACTCTTAGATTAGTAATTTGAGGATAGATGTTCTTGTGATGATGACTTCCAGATTTTGGGGATAATAATAGTTATTGATTTTATTAATGAGTTTAAGTCTTCCGCATTACTTTCTGTTGATATTATATTGAAATGTTAAGGTTCAGATTGGTTGGTTCGCTCACATAGGAGGGTAAGTGTGGGTGCCAGTCGCGGCCCGGATTTGGGTCGTGACAAACTTGGTATCAGAGCATTAGGTTCGTTGGTCTCATCACACAAGAACGAGTCTAGTAGAGTCTTAAGAAACGGTAGGGGGACGCCTTTACTTTTCTTTGAGAGGCTATAAGACTTTAGGAAAATTCCATTCTTTCTTTCTTTCTTTCGTGCTATTACTTGGGTTCAATTGGTATCTAGGTGATACAAATTAGTATCTGACCATCTTCACTCTATTTCGCAGATGGTTAGAACTAGAGCAACAACCGCGCCAACATCAACATCGGCAAGACAAGAAGCGTCTGAGCTAGCCACTGGGGCTGTAGCTCGAGGAAGAGTAGCGGCAAGAGGCCGTGGTAGGGGTCGTGGGAGGACGTCCTCTAGAGGAAGGGGACGAGCACCTAGCCCATCTGATACTAGGGCGGTGACTCCTCCACCGATTGAAGAAGTAGTAAGAGAAGGGGAGGATGGGGAAAATAAACAAGTGCAGAATGAGGGATTGCCACCTCAGCCTACCCCAGAGATGATAAATCAGGTGCTTGCTTATCTTAGTGGGTTATCTGATCAAGGTCAAACACCTCCAGTGTTTTCTGCACCAGCACCTCAGGCTCCGGAGGTACAACATGCGGCTACTGTGGCTCCCCGCATGGATGCCTCATTGGAAATAGGCACATTTCCTCGTCTGACTACAGGGCCTATAATGACAAATGATCAGCATGAACTTTTCAGTAAGTTCTTGAAATTGAAACCTCCAGTCTTCAAGGGTGCTGAATCTGAGAATGCTTACGATTTTCTGGTTGACTGTCATGAGCTACTACACAAGATGGGTATAGTAGAACGGTTTGGTGTTGAGTTCGTGAGTTATCAGTTTCAAGGGAACGCCAAAATGTGGTGGCGGTCACATGTTGAGTGTCAACCAACAGAGGCACCACCTATGACTTGGGCCTCATTCTCTAGCTTGTTTATGGAGAAGTATATCCCCCGGACTTTGAGGGATAGGAAAAGGGATAAGTTCTTGAGCCTAGAGCAAGGTAGGATGTCGGTCAATGCATATGAGGCTAAGTTTCGTGCACTATCCAGATATGCCACCCAACTTTGTTTCAGTCCACAAGAGCGGATTCGTCATTTTGTGAAGGGGTTGAGGTCAGAGTTGCGGATTTCAGCCTTACAGGTAGCGACTACGGCAAAATCCTTCCAAGAAGTGGTAGATTTCGTGGTAGAGGTGGAAGGAGTGAAGCCAGATGAATTCACCATGGCATCGACATCAAAAAGGTTTCAAGGGAGGTGAGTTTAATGGCTCTTACTCTAGAGGACAGGGTTCAGGAGGTTACTCAGTTCGACCAATTCAGTCTTCGCTACAGACTGTAGTTGGGGGTCCACCTCAAACCGGTCAACTCTTCTCCGAGAGACCTATGCCTGACTCCAGAGAGTGTTATGGATGTGGGAAGACTGGACATATTAGGAGAAATTGTCCAAAACAGAGTTATAGACCCCCCAATGGCTAGAGGTAGAGGTGGTCATAGTAGAGGCCGTTATTCTGGAGGACGTGGTGGTCGAGGTAATGGTGGTCACCAAAATGGCCGAGGTAGGGGCAATGGACAGACAGACGATAGGGCCCATTGTTACGCTTTCCCTGGGAGGTTTGAAGCAGAGGCATCTGATGCTGTCATCACAGGTAATCTTCTGGTTTGTGATTGCATGGCTTCTGTATTGTTTGATCCTGGATCCACATTTTCTTATGTATCTTCCTCATTTGCTAATGGTCTAAATTTACATTGTGAATTACTTGATATGCCTATTCGTGTTTCTACTCCGATGGGTGAGTCTGTGGTAGTTGAAAAGGTATATAGGTCTTGTTTGGTGAACTTTGTGGGGAGCAACACTTATGTAGATTTGGTTATCTTAGAAATGGATGATTTTGATGTAATTCTGGGTATGACTTGGCTTTCTCCGCAATTTGTGATCTTGGATTGTAATGCTAAAACGGTGACGTTAGCCAAGCCTGGGACAGATCCGTTAGTGTGGGAGGGTGACTACACTTTCAATCCGGTGCGTATCATCTCCTTTCTTCGTGCTAAGAAAATGGTTAGTAAAGGGTGTTTAGCTTTCTTGGCACATCTCAAGGATGACACTACCCAAGTACCTTCGATTGAGTCGGTTTCGGTGGTCCGTGAGTTTCTGGATGTGTTCCCTGCAGATCTTCCTGGTATGCCACCAGATAGGGATATTGACTTCTGTATTGATCTTGAACCGGGTACTCGCCCCATTTCTATACCCCCTTATAGAATGGCTCCTGCGGAGTTAAGAGAGTTGAAAGCCCAACTTCAAGAGTTGTTGAGCAAAGGCTTCATTAGACCAAGTGCATCTCCTTGGGGTGCTCCGGTTTTGTTTGTAAAGAAGAAGGATGGGAGTTCTCGGATGTGCATAGACTACCGGCAGTTGAACAAGGTAACCATAAAGAACAAGTATCCTCTTCCTCGCATTGATGACTTGTTCGATCAGTTACAAGGTGCTTGTGTCTTCTCTAAGATTGACTTGAGATCCGGTTATCATCAATTGAAAATACGGGCAACGGATGTGCCAAAGACAGCTTTTAGAACCAGGTATGGGCATTACAAATTTGTAGTGATGTCTTTTGGTCTTACGAATGCCCCTGCTGCGTTCATGAGTTTGATGAACGAGATTTTAAGCCATATTTGGATCTCTTTGTGATCGTATTTATTGATGATATACTGATATACTCTAAAAGTAAGGAGGAACATAGGGAGCATTTGAGAATGGTATTGGAAATGTTGAGGGAGAAAAAGCTTTATGCCAAGTTCTCTAAGTGTGAGTTTTGGCTAGATGCAGTGTCCTTCTTGGGGCATGTGGTTTCTAAGGATGGAGTGATGGTGGATCCTTCTAAGATTGAGACAGTTAAGA